GATTAGTAAATATAGTTGTTCTTAATAATAATATCTCCTAACCGGTACAAATTAATAGAGATATTTAAAGGATTTGAAAGATATTCTAATAATGTTTTTAGAGTTATTTTTAAAAAATTCATTATTCAATGAATTTTTTTCTTAAGATAATACTGTCCATAGGATATCTTATTCGTAAAGGTAATTAAAATATTTTCTAATTAAATAATATCTTTGCTTTATTTTATTTTTATTTTACGATTTAGAGAAGATTTTCTGTAACTGGGGGTTTACAAAAAGAAATTGATCATTTATATTCTCTGAGGAGTTCGACGTATAACTTTTGTAAACATTAAGTGGTACAAAATTTCTCGAAATAAAATTAAATTTGTCAATAAGTCATGCAAGTTTCATTAACATCAGACAATTATTTGATTTTTGCAAGAATTTCCAAATCAATGTTTTTCACCGTCCACTTTTGTATCTACATAAGCTCTATCATTGATATTGAGCACTTGAACTCACAAATATAGCATACGTTAAAACTATTTTTTTTTATCTGAGTGTTGACTGCAATGTTTACTTATATATATATATATATATATATATATATATATAGAGAGAGAGAGAGAGAGAGAGAGAGAAATAGAGAGAATCAAAATAATTTTACAAGTTTTGGGGGCTGGTTCCGTACACCGAATCAAGGACAATACTCCATATAAACATATATCCGCAAATCCTTCTTTTGTAAGTAATTAAGTTTAAATAAAGTTTATGGTAGATTGCGCTGTGTTGCTATTTAGACTGAGTTACATTTGTCATTCGTGTACATTTGTGGCTAGTCTGTCTTCAACGTTTAACGTGTGTAGCAGTGAGTTAATTGAGACGTGTTCTGTTTAACAGTGGCAGGATATGATATCATGAGCAGGTACATATTTTTACATATGACCGCGCGAATGGTAATGCACGCAGGGCTGCACGGCTGTATCAGATTGCGTTTCCAGACCCAAGGCAGCCGAGTCATCCAACCCTTTTCTGCTGTTTATCGTCTCGCTGCTGAAACAGGATCCGTGGCACCACAAACTATGGATCGAGGAAGACTGCGATCCGCTCGTCCACCTGAACACGTAGAACACATTCTACAAGCTGTCGGTGTCGATCCATGTATCAGCACACTTCAAGTGGCTCTAGCACAACGTACATCTCATTGTATCATGTGGAGAGTAGTTCAAGAGCAGCTCACCTATCCGTATCATTTGCAACGTCTACGGGGTCTTTCGCCCTGTAATCACTCACCACGATAGAACGTTTGCGATTATTTATTGAAGAAACTGGTGATTCGCTGTTTGTCTCTTCAGTCTTCTTTGCGAAAGAGGCGACATTTGGAAGCGAGGGAATAACAAATTTAAACAACCAACTTTTCTGAAAAAGATCAGAATCACCATGGTACAATACAGGCTAGACCCCAGCATTATTTCACGATTAATATGGGGTCTGGAATTGTAGGTGACTGTCTGGTCGGTCTATATGTTCTCCCAGTACGTCTTACAGGAGCTGTCTACAATGAATTTATGTGGAACACAATTCCAGACCTGGTAGAGGATGTACCCCTGCTAATATGAAGACACGTGTCGTTCATGCATGATGGGCCTCCAGCACATTTTAGTCACATTATTCGTGATGCAATGGCTGACACGTATCTTGAAAGATAGATAGGTAGAGGAGGACCGGTTGCACAGCCTGCACGTTTCCCCATCCTCAGTCCTTTGGCTTTTTATCTGTGCGCCCACCCCAAAACAATCGGTTTATGCAGAAGACATTAATAATGCAGAGACGCTTCATGGACGTATCATGAGAGCCTGAGAAACCATTCGACACCGTATGGGATTATTTGAAAGGGTCCGTCAGTCAATGATCCGACGGGTGCATGCGTGTGTAGAAGTTATCGACGACATTTTGAACATTTGTTATGAGTGGCTGTGTTGAGGTTCAACGATGGCTTTTTGGACATACGTCTATATGGACATTTTACCTTGTTTTGGCGTGAAGAAACCCGAAATTTTGTAAAGGTTTGTAAAAAGAATTTTGTTACACCCGATATATATATATATATATATATATATATATATATATATATATATAAATTAAACGCCAATGAATAATGGGGTAAATAGTTTCAGACATCCTTGTGCATAGACAGACTGAAAGATAGATATGAACGGGTTAGGCAATTTAGAATACACACACATATATCTGTCTATATTTTTGAGATAAGGTATTATGTACATTATTTGCATTATTCGGACTATTGACATCATCGCCATATTTATTACAATATTTCGGCAGTTGTACGCTCCAGCCTTCTTCAGGTGGTTATTTTGCTCACTGGGGTAGACTGTTCTAGTTCCACGTGCCATGTTTAATGGATGTCAGTTTTCAGTTATCTCCTGTTAATTTTCCCTCTGAAAGTTATCCACTGCCTTAACTGGGTATTGAACTCACATTCTTTGGGTCCTGTCACTGGATCTAACGAATGCCTTTATCCACTCTGCCATGTGTTCTTGAGGACATCTGGGTATGAATTTCTTATGAATAAATCTAATGTCTTCAGCAACCACATATGTAGAATAAAGAGTTTGTCAAGTTTTTTGAATTTTCATATACTTGTATTTTGATTGGTCATTGCAGCTTATGTAACAGCGCTTCCTCTATCAAGGAGTCCTTTGATTGACTTGAACCTTTTAAAACTCTTTATTCTACATTCAACACTTGATAAGACGCCAGAAGTGTTGAAAGAAAATGGCTATTTTTGTTGTGATTTTATAACATATTCATGTTATAATTTATAATTATGTATTTAAGTAATTCATCGACTTTGAAAGAAACCTCAACAGAATGCAGAAAGCACTGGACGGCCGTTTCGTCCTATATTTGGGACTCATCAGCAGTGCGCATCCACTACCGAGAATTGAAACCCGGATCAAGTAAACCTCATACCAACTGTTCCACTGGGCCTCGCTCGGATGCGTACTACTGATGAGTCCCAAATATAGGACGAAACAGCCGTCCAGTGCTTTCTGAATTCTGTTGAGGTTTCTTTCAACCTCGATGAATTACTTAAATAGAATTATCAAATCCTCTTAATAATTTCTATCATATAATTATGTATTTAGACAGCAATCCTTCATTTCCGCATGTTTCATTAAAAACGACTAACAAGGTACTACAATTAAGCTTTTTATTTAATTTTTCTTGTGTTCAAAGAAGTGTTTTCTTTATTGGAGACAGAGTGTATAGAAGCTCTACAAATGTTGTATACTTCCGAGCGCTTTCGGCTATACTTTTAGCCATTATCAAGAATGATTTTATTTTTTCAATTTAATTGGGTGTCTACGTTGTGCGCGTGTTTTTAGTGGTATAGAGATGTTTTATTTTCCCAACATAGTAAGCACAATGTGGCTTTGTTTATAGTTAATATTATTAAGTGTTGGCTTTTTCTTTTTTATTATTAAGGCTTCCATTATTTTTAATCTTTTTTTTTAACATACGGATGAGGTTATGTTTCTATTTTTCTACTATGTACGAACACAAGAAAAAAAATAATAAAAGCTTAATCGTAGTACTTTTGTCTGTCTTCTTTAATAAAACATGCATATATATATATATATATATATATATATATATATATATATATATATATATATATATGTGTGTGTGTGTGTGTGTGTGTGTGTGTGTAGGAATGATATATAACAAATTGGAAAATCTTTTCGTGTGACGCCTCTCGTCCACTTTCTCATACATCTTTCCTCCAAAATTGTTCTTTATAAAATATATATATATATATATATATATATATATATATATATATATATATATATATATATATATATATATATATATATATAAATATATATATATATATATACTAGTTCATAAATGTTATGAGGAGAGCTAACGTATATAAATACATATATACGTACCGCCCCAAAATATGTCTTGGTGATACGCTCTCAAATTTATATTATTCTAAAAGATTGCAATCTAAAAATCAACGATTCAGGCAATTTACTTAGAGTTCATCCCAGGCCCGGATGCGTTCATCTGGTACGGAGTCAGAGGTTTGCTAATCGTTCCTTTTCTTTTCCTATGCCGTGCTCCCAAAACTCACTCGCTTGAAACGAAGACGGATTTCTAAGGCAGTCGAGCGTGAATCTAATGTCTCCAACAAGACGATTTGAGGCTCTGCCCCTTCAAATTCTATTTCATCATAATTCATTGGATTGTACTTTTTTTTTTGGCTCACTGTGTGTGGCCCTTCAGTAAGATACTGCTAAAGAGAGTGTTTATCTGTCTGTATGTAAAACGCGACACTGAAATCTGAACCTGCACTGGAAAAGATGCCGTTAAAAAACTAAGCAAAGAAACAGGAAAATTCATTAGAGACAAAAGAGTACTGAATGGCTAATTTCAGCCCTTCTATATGGCAGGGAATACTCGACAATTTCTTCAGATTTGAAGACACATAGCGAAAGAAATGGACCAGGGTCGTTAAGCAAAGGGGAATTCTTAAGGAAAATGGAAAATGGACACTTATGCTGTAAAAGACATAATGAGGAACGAGGGCAGGGAAATTGTGACACTCACAAGACGTATAGCCCAAGGCAAACGGAACAACAGGAAACTGCAAAACTATTACCTGACGTGCTTATGTGAATGGATGAGAGAACGGCGAGTGGGAGGTATGGTAAAAAAAAAAAAACGAACATTTTTAACGACCGATTAAATCGTTTTTTCTTCAAGCCTTTGCAAGATATTTAAAGCCAGAAATACTTTTAGATTGCAAGAATGCATTTAAGAGATAATCATGGCTTAGAAATACAAGTCTTAATAATTAACCCATAGCTGGGGGAGAAGAGATGGATTCACGCATTTCCCATCAGTATTTGCGCGTAGGTGAATATAACTTGGTTCTTCGATTAAAAATGCCATTATTCATTACACCACCCGCACATCCAAGCTTATAGCACCTGGTATTCCCATACAGTCACTCATCCAGGTACTGCCCAGACTCGACGTTGCTTAACTTTGGTGATCGAACGGCGACTGGTGTTTCAATGTGATGTGGACGTAAGCCATATTTCTAAGAGCAACAAGAGATAGGAAGTTGTGAAGAGCCATGATTGCACACTTCCCGAAGAAGATGCGCACATAAGGTTCCCCGCGGGAACCAGTGATGTATATTCGAGTCTAGAAGAAATCAAATTTTGACTTGGATCGGTGTAACACCATCTTCTATTTTGTCTTGTACTAATCTAAGCTTCTGTCTGAATTTCTGGTATTAGGATTTATTTAGATTATTTATAATCGGACTAGCGTTCTCATTTCTGTTATTATTATCACATTGTTTCGGCCCTGTGTCCTCCGCTCTTCTTCAGGCGCCTGCTGATCCGAGTAACCTTCTGGGAATTTCGAATAGAGCCATTTATTTAATCTACAAGGCTCTACAAGTCTAGAGATGTCTCGTCTACTTTTTATTTAGTACTGATCAATTATTGTTTGTCTTGTTTCCATTGACTCTACGTCTGGTCCCGGCATTGAACTCATAATTCACCAAATTCACGAACCATCGCTTTAATCCACTAGACTATTGTCCGATATATAGATGCTCAGGCTCCCGTTTTGACCAAGTTAAATACATTAATCCAGGAATCTATCTATCTATCTATCTATCTATCTATCTATCTATCTATCTATCTATCTATATCAAGCTGGTCGTATCAATCTATCTATCTCTATATCTCTCAATCTCAAGCTGTTTATATCTATCTATCTCTATATCTATCTCAAAGTGTTTATATCTATCTATCTATCTATCTATCTATCTATCTATCTATCTATCTATCTATCTATCTATGTCAACAAGCTGTTCATAACTCTCTATCTCCCCGTCTCAAGCTTTTCGTATCTATCTATCTATCTATCTATCTATCTATCTATCTATCTATCTATCTATCTATCTATGTCAACAAGCTGTTCATAACTCTCTATCTCCCCGTCTCAAGCTTTTCGCATCTATCTATCTATTTATCTATCTATCTATCTATCTATCTATCTATTTATCTATCTATCTATCAACAATCTGTTCATAACTCTCTATCTCCCATGTCTCAAGCTTTTCATAACATCTATCTATCTATCTCAAGCTTTTCGCATCTATCTATCTATCTATCTATCTATCTATCTATCTATCTATCTATCTATCTATCTATGTCAACAAGCTGTTCATAACTCTCTATCTCCCCGTCTCAAGCTTTTCGCATCTATCTATCTATCTATCTATCTATCTATCTATCTATCTATCTATCTATCTATCTCAACAAGCTGTTCATATTGATCTATCTCTTCAACTATCTCTCTGTCTCAAGCTTTTCCTATCAATCTCTCTATCTCTCTATCTATCTCAAGCTGTTCATATCTATCTTTCTGTCCCAGTCTGTTCATATCTATCTATCTATCTATCTATCTATCTATCTATCTATCTATCTATCTCAACAAGCTGTTCATATCTATCTATCTATCTATCTATCTATCTATCTATCTATCTATCTATCTATCTATCTCAACAAGCTGTTCATATCTATCTATCTATCTATCTATCTATCTATCTATCTATCTATCTCAAGCTGGTCGTTTCAATCTATCTATCTCTATATCTCTCAATCTCAAGCTGTTTACATCTATCTATCACTATATCTATCTCAAATTGTTCATATCTATCTATCTATCTATCTATCTATCTATCTATCTATCTATCTATCTATCAATCTAGACCTTTAGAGTTTTATCGTAAAGGCATAAAGAAACGTTTAACACGATGACAGAAATGTACAAATGTTCGTGGTTCCTATTTTGATTCATGTAAACACTGTTTAATTACATTAATCCAGCAATAAAGTTGATTCTAAAATCAGACATTATTTTTCGAACAATTAAATATCATGGCAGCTCTTCTCTAACCTAAATTTCATCGTTCAGTCTGGGAAAAATTGGCCGGTTTGATTTAATGCCCACAAAAGCAATCTAGTAACATTCAATCATCACCGAGCAGAAGGCAAATTTTTACCTATCGAGATGAACGAATGCTATCCCAGGAATGCCCCGTCCCACGAGCGCCTACCGGAGTTTAAACTCAACCCTGACCTCAAGTGGAACTCTTACATACGATCCATCGCTAAAGATGGTGGGAAAAATGATCGGTTCCCTGTACCGCTCCAGTAAGTACCTGACTCCTGCTTTCGTCTACCTTTACAAGAGCCAGATCAAGTCGGAGACTATTTTACGAACAGCGTAATATTACAGAAAGACATACTCTTGACGGGGGAATGTTTCTTTAGGTTATAGACAATTTGAGAATTACAGAAGTGATAATGGTATTTGTAATGGTGATGTAAGATGTTTCCTTATGATGAAACATTCCCTTTCATTGACCAATCAGTTGACGTTATTCTAACTTATGCAATCATTCTTTTAAAACATTTTTTGAAGAAGAATATCATTCTCAAAAGTACTGTTTGGGTAACGATGGCAGTCTCCTTCCTAACCCTTTGTTTAAAATAGTATGGGAAGACATTTTGATTCTCTGATACCGTGACCAACTTAAACTCGAAGTTCGGGTAGGTGGGTAATGGTCATGACAATATTAACCGTTTCTTTATAAGGAAACATTCGACATTCATTGACCGAGCAGCCAGTGCTACAGTCAGTTGAAATTTAATAAAACTTCCTATAAAAATAATTTTTCTAAAAAATAGATTTATCAAATCCACTTTTATAGCTCTTTTATATTATGATAACGATTTCCGTCCTAAAATTTTGCTTAAGGTGGTGTGAAATGTCAACATTATGATAATGTCATCCTATTCTTTTTGAGTTGCATGTACTATCTAATTTAGTTTCACTACTGGTGAGTCTTTAATTGATGTGGTTTCTGTTATTTGGTAAAGATCTTTCTTAGCGGCAGTCTACAAGTTTCGACGAAGAACAGTCCCCTTCCACAGAATTCATTCGCTTGGAAGCATTTTTTAATACTTGCTCCGAGTGGAGTATAGTATGGAGATTTGACAGACAAGTATAAATAGAGAACAAGTAGCGAACATAGGGTGGCTATGCCTAGCAAACCCGGGTGCTATTCACGACACGGAGGCCTATACTACGACTACTACTACGCAGACAGATTTGCAAAACATAACATCGAGAAAAATAAATGTAAAATAAAGGTATTAAAAAGAACGACAGAAAGAAATGGTGGTCTAATAAGAACCTAGAATATTCTCACGAAGGAAAAATAAAAAAAAACAACGTAGACTCACCAATTCAATGTGAGAAAATCTTCAGTTATCAGCCTATCCGTTCCTTTGTGTGGCTAAGCGTAAAATAATTAATAAGACCGTGAACAGAAGACAATGCTTCTGGTAGACACACTATGGATTTATATATATAACTATTGTACCCGTGTCGTCAGAAGTGACAACAATTGTTAGAAAGTTTTAATAATGAAATGCAATGAGACAAAAATCTTGAAACAATATATTGAGATTCCATGAAGCGGAGATAAAGAATTCACAACTAAAACACAGGTCAATGAACCGTTTAATTTAAATATGGTAGACGCTCAATGCTATCTATGATTCATTAATTGCTCCTGGTATTATATAAACAGCGTTTTGCTCAATATCATTTCACGTTAAGAATTAAATGTTTAATATAAGAGTGAAATAGAAATATCTCTCGGAAGAAACAGAACGACAGAGATGTCGATGACAGAGACTATTTCAAGACCACGTTGAAGCAAGACCATCACTTAATAGACACGTGTATCTGAGTACCTCACATGGAAAGCTTGAACAAATAAGACTGCAATCTAAGAAATGTAGGAATAAGGGAACTGATTAATAAAACGATTCATTTTGCACGGGAGATAATTTTGTGTCAATACAGATAAATATTTTATTTGAATAGATTATTGAAAGAAGGAAGGTAAGTAATCACTAATATATTTAGCAACTTAAGTTGATTTACCTCATTTCCAACTACAGATGGGACAGGAAATATATAAGTATACAGACATTGATAATTATCATATGGTTTGATGATCTAATAAAACGTTCTTGCCATATGATGTTAGTTATCGTTAAGTGCATTTTATCTAAATGAATTCAATAACGCCAATTTCTTATTTTATTATTATGGCAGTACCAATATCAGCGTGTATTTTCATTAAATTTTCAAAAGGTTTGTTTTATGTGTTGTTCATTTTTGACTGCTTCAGATGCATTTTTTTGCTGTTTGAAACTAGTAGGAGTGTTTAAAAATATATCTTAAGCAGTCAAACATGAAAATAAATTAAACCCCTAAAACGCATCCCCTTGGCTACAGAAGTGGCTTGGGACAATGGATAATATGGACAAGTTTTTCACTCCCTTACTACTAGCAAAAATGCTGGAAAAACTATATATATATATATATATATATATATATATATAATTTCTTACAATTAACAATAACGCCTTTCTAAAAACATATTTCGAATTACATCTATTTTTTTCGTTGTTCTGTTATTACCGAGAAGTAAAAAACAAAAACAAATCTATTTCCATACCTGATGATTCCTGTATGCACAGATGAAAGCTTGTAAAAAAATAAAAAAAATACCTTATGGAACTGGAATTTATAAACAGGTATCATAACATTCATTTACAAGTTCGGGGTTAATGTACTTTATTAAATTTGTTTGCGAAGATGTATTCTCGCCATTTGTATCATTAACTTCTATAGCTGTTTTTGTATGAATGATTCATGTAATGTAAATTGAACTGCACCACGTACTTATATATATATATATATATATATATATATATATATATATATATATATATATATATATATATATATTAAAAAGAAGATAGAAACCGCAAACGTTTTTGGTTGAAATGAGGATTTTTTTGAAAAAAATATTATGCTTTATTTTCCATAATTTTGCTACACGTGCTCCCGGTCTCGTGACTGTCATCGGGCAAAGGTTGGAGATTTCCACATATTATTAAAAATAATTATTTTTTTTCTCCTTTATGT